TTCAAACCCACCAGCCACTCCTCGGAAGGAAGGTTGGGCAATCCTACTTCCGTAGTGATACTGCCTCGGAAACCCAAGGAGGGGTCGCTATGAGTTGGGCCGACTCGACGGCACATAACAACAACAACAAAGTTATTGCTAAAATCAATCTGCTTGTAGCCTCTTGGGAGAATTTTCTAATGTAATGTCTTAATTTCATTTTTGTTTACAACTTAATTATATAACTATTTTAATTGTTGCTACTATATTGTATTTATCTAAATAGGAACTTCAGTGGGCCAAGTGACTGCCATTGACAATGATGAACCTGACACCTTGCATACTCGCCTGAAGTATAAAATCTTACAACAAATCCCAGATCGTCCAAAGCATTTCTCTGTACATCCAGATACAGGTGTCATCACAGCAGCTACATCTTTGCTGGACAGAGAAGTAATTAATTGATTAATTTACTTCCCAATCAGTAAATTATGTTTAAACTAATAATGAACTCAAGGGAAGGGCCAGTAAGGCCATTGTTACCTCCTCTTCAAGCATGCTTCTTTTCGACTTTGTTTAGAGTTGCTGTAGAGACTTCTAGTATTTGTAGACATCTTGGGAAGGTACAGGTATTAGATGAGGTCTCATTTGAGGTAATTGTTCTAATTTGATGTGTTGAGGCTAAAATAGCTTTCAGTTTTTAAATGTATTAGAGACACTGATTTTCCATTATTCTGACTAATCTCTTGTTCTGTATTTGTATTTGTAGTCTTTTTTAAGTGATGTAATGAGAAGGAATGTTTACAAAAAATCAGAGCGCAGAGCGTGGATGAGAATTGCAAGTTATAGGACATAGATATACACCAATATAACTTTTCTCTTGTTTTTCAGCTCTGTGATACATACAAGTTAATAATGGAAGTGCGAGACATGGGGGGTCAACCTTTTGGTTTATTTAATACAGGAACAATTACTATTTCACTTTTGGACGAAAATGACAATTCACCAACGTTCACAGAAACATCTGTGAGTATGTTTCTCCATTCATTTACTGAGACTCATTTACTTTTGCAAAAAAAAAAAAAATCTAAAATTTGGTAGCTTTGATAGCATAGTGCCTAAGGCACTTGACGCTAACCAGAAGGCTGGCGGTTCAAACCCATCAGCCACTCCTCCAAAGGAAGGTTGGGCAATCTACTTCCATAGTGACACTGCCTCGGAAACCCAAGGAGGGGTCACTATGAGTCGGGTCTGACTCGACAGCACATAACAACAACATGAGATTGTAAATGCTGGTCTAAATATCTACCACTTACAAATAACATAAAGAGAAAAAATATATATTTTTTGTGAAAATAAGTGACCACTTGAGAAGAAGAACTGAGATTAAAATCTGGATCTGTTATGTTCCAACAACTGTCATCCTTTGACAAATTCATTTTATACCTCTGGAAGATTCTGGCTCACTACTTTTTAAAAGTGTCCTAAAACATTCTGCATGTGTAACCACATTTTTTGTGGGGAGGAGAACTATGACTTAATCTATAAAAAAAGGTAATGTATTTTTCTTACATTGATTGTTAATTAGTCAAAAGTAAATTTTAAAAGAGTGATGTGGTAAGTGATTCAGTAATTATAAGAAATCAAGTATGTTTTGATTATCTACAAATATTGAATGCTTAATATATTAATATAAAACACTGATTAAGTCCTTAGGATGTCTGAAAAGGAAAAGAGAGACTGTAAATACTGCAGGGCTTCAGAATAGACATGAATCTGAGGGACATATTTAAGGGTTAGGAAAATTATCTCAGAGAAGTTGAGAAACTGGGCAGTAGTTAGTCTTTGAAGATTGAGCAAGATTTGAAAAAGGGGTGTATGGGGGAAAGAAGTAAGCTATCCGTTAAATCTGTAAACTCTTTTCCAAAAGATGCACATTCCACATCACTTTTTTTTTTTATTTGTGATTTGTGTGAAAGTGTGCACAGCAAATTTGTTTTCCATTCAACAGTCCATATACATTCTATTTTGTGACTTTTACTGCAGTCCCCACAGTATAACAGCACTCTTTCCTCTGTCCTTCCTTCTCAGTCCCTCTGGCCTTCCTAGCTCTATTGCTGGGCAAATGCTGTCATTTTGATCCCATATGCTTGATGTTCTAATGAGTGTAAACCCTCCCGATACACTATTTACTTTGTAGGTCTGTCTATCATCATTTGACTAATGAGTCACAGGGGTTAAGTTCAGTTCCTAGCCAGAAGGGCGTCTAAGGGTCATAGCCTCAGAGGTTCCACCACTCTGTTTCAGATCAGTAAGCCTGGCCTTCCCCTCTCCCCATCACATCAATTTTCTTTAAATGTAAATTTTAGAGCAGAAAATCACATTGGAAAAGCTAGAAATTTATAATAATAAGAGACAATTTTTTCAGTATTTTGCAGAGGTAGAAGAAAACAGAATTGATGTTGAGATTTTACGGATGAAGGTATACGACAAGGATTTGCCCAACACACCTCACTCCAAGGCCATATACACGATCCTACAGGGAAATGAAAATGGAAACTTCAAAATTTCCACAGATCCAAACACAAATGAAGCAGTTTTGTGTGTTGTCAAGGTAAATGAATAAAATAATCAAGCATGATTTTAAAAAATCAACTTATGTTTGAGTGTTGATTACACAATGCAATGAAAAGCTGAAATGTTGACCATGGTATACATAAACTTTATCTTTGTATATTCTGTTCTCATTTCCTCTCTTAGAGGAAAGGCATGAGAGATACAAAATCCATTGTTCTATATATGAGGAAAATCAAGGCAGAGAAAGATGGATGTAGTAATCAGACATTAGCCTAAGAAGGAGTCTTAGACACCTACTTGCCCCAAACCCTCATTTTATAGGTGAGGAGCACATACATAGTATAGAGAAATGGAGGAATCGCTATTTGAAACTGCACCTCTTGACTTTCAACTTACTTCATGTTCATTAGATATTTTCCTTCTTCATAATGACGCCTTTTTAGGGAGCCCAGGTGGTGCAATGGTTAAACACTCAGCTGCTAACCAACAATATCTATGGTTCAAACCCACCAGCCACTCTATGTGAGAAAGATGAGGCAGTCTGCTTTTGTAAAGAGTTACAGCTTTGGAAACCCTGTGGGTCAGTCCTGTTCTGTCCTTCAGAGTTGCTGAGAGTTAGAATGGACTCAGCGGTTATGGGTATACTGTCTTTTATAAGATAGACAACTGTATTCAATATTCAACAGCTATTCCCAATAGTTATCATATGTTTGAGGAAGCCAGTGTTTTGGGATTGCTTAAAAAATTAATTTCAATTGAATGATTATAAACCTAGAATGATTACAAACAGTACAGTTCCTTTTCAAATCTTTCTGTTCACTAACTTCTTACATATCTTCCTTCATTAATTTCTTAGAGACAATGTATTTTCTTAGAAGTTATATGCAGAAATTGTGCTGTCTTGATAAGATTTTTAGAAGATATTCTTTAATTTCTATTTAAAAAAAAAAAAAAAAAAAAACCTCATTGAGTCAAAACTGACTCATGTGACCTCTCCTTGGGTTTCCAAAGCAGTATCTCTACAGAAGTAGATTGCCCAGTCTTCCTTCCGAGGAGTGGCTGGTGGATTTGAACTGCCAGTCTTCTGGTTAGCAGTCAAATGCCTTAGGCACTACACCACCAGAGCTTATCTTCTTATCTATTGAGCTTCTAGATTCCCTTCTCTTATTCCTCCTTCATTTGTTATCTTGATAGATTTTAGACTCTATCATTTTACCTGGGAGCTCTGGTAGCATAGTGGCTAAGACACTTGCCTGCTAACCAGACGGCTGGCGGTTCAAACCCACCAGCCACTCCTCGGAAGGAAGGTTGGGCAATCCAATCCTACTTCTGTAGTGATACTGCCTCGCAAACCCAAGGAGGGGTCGCTATGAGTCGGGTTTGACTTGACGGCACATAACAACAACAAATCATTTTACCTGTTGTTTCAAGATTCTTTCTAATTACACAGTTTAGGACTGCATGAATATTTCTGTTAGGAGCTAAGCAGACCCAGATCTAACATGTTTTGAAAAGTTTCATAGGTGCTGCTACATAATGTCATTCTATCTGTTGACTGAAGATACTTAGAGTATCTGCTCCATGGCCTGATCTCATGACTGAATGATCTAATTATTTTACGTGCTTAGCTTGGAAGGACATCTGCTATTTAAGTTATCACTGTTATTCCTCATATTAAATAATAATATGATGAAGAGTAGTAGGTCCATATGAATTTTCTCAAACATTTATTTTGTAATTCTATTAATATTTAAACTTGTAATGAAAAATGAAGGCAGGATCTTCTCAAATAAAAATCATAACTGATTGATTCTTAAAATTGACAATTTTTCCTTTGGTGTAGTGATTTTTGGTAACATTTTGTACACAAAAAATGCTTTTCCCTTTTGGGCTAAACTTTGCAATTATAATCAGAAATCTGCTACATACTTGTAAACACTGACTAATAAAAGTGTGTTTATTGAACAGTCATTGAACTATGAAGTCCTTCGCCAAATTGTTTTGCAAGTTGGTGCACTTAATGAAGCACAGTTTGCTAAAGCAGCAAACTCACAAACTCCTACCATGTGCACTACAACTGTCACCGTTAAAGTTAAAGACACTGATGAGGGCCCTGAATGCCAGCCACCAGTAAAAGTTATTCAGAGTAAAGATAGCCTTCCACCTGGTACAGAGCTCCTTGGATACAAAGCAATGGATCCGGAAACACGTAGTAGTGAAGGCTTAAGGTAATGTACTTTTAAAAAAGTTCCCTAATTGTAATGCAAATTCATTTCAAATTTGCGAACATTCTATGTATTTTTCAAAATGACACTTTAAAAGACTGTGTCCCTTGGCTTGCCTTTGGCTTAACCACTAACATTTCATTTCTGAAAAATTAGGTACACGAAGATAGGAGATGAAGATAACTGGTTTGAAATTAATGAACAAACTGGAAACTTGAGAACTATAAAAACATTAGATAGAGAATCAAAATTTGTGAAAAATGACCAATACAATATTTCAGTGATTGCAAGGGATGCAGGTGAGTGTCATTTTCTAGAAATAAAATATAAACATAGCATTTTTCATATTGATAACATTTTACTAGGAGATATTAAGTAAAACTGGGTTGTGGAACTAAACTTCTCCCTGGATAGGTTTCTAATTCAGTTGGCATCTTCTCTGTGCCCACCACAATCTCTCCTCTCTTCAAGGTGTCTGGGAAGGTGTCTCTTCTCCCACCTTCTACATCACAAATGTTTTTAAGGAAACCTGCTTATTTCCAGATCACATTTTAATGCAAACAATGTTTGAAGTATGATTGCCCAATTTTTTGACGACCACTCAATTTAGGCTCCAGTGCATCAGTATATGCAAGATTAGAGAGTGAAAGCTACAATCCAAGTTTCAAAAACCATATTAGTTTATCTCTGCTGTGGACACGGTGACATACTTGAAGTTCTCAATTTTTTTCAGGCAAACAGGTTTAGATTATTATGATTTGAATTTGCTGAAAGCGGTCAATCCACTTAACTGTTGGGTTTAAGGTAGGTTTGTTCTGAGTCTTTCTTAAAGGGTAACAAATCATTTATCCTAGTTTCTAAATAGATGATTGAACTATAGCACTTAAATAAGTGATTTGCTATGGTTTGCAATCCCTCTGCAAGTTAATTCTAGAAATTATGTTGTAAATAAATGTACTGCAAATGCTATAAAGTAATGATCACAAAATCCTTTTGAACATATCATTTTATCAGTATACTGTACTTAAATATGTACCTCCATTTGTTTGGTAAGTATATTTATATATATATGTACTATGATATTAGTCTGTTACATGCATACTAAAATTATACAAAACAGATATTAAAACAGCATGATCAAAATGTAAATAGAAGTTATAATATTTCATTCTATCACACAAATTTATTAGATACTCATTCTAATAAATAAAGTACCATAAATGATAAAGACAAATTAACTTAGACAGGTTTTTACTATCTGCTGAATCCAAGGCATTTACCTGTTTGAACTACATATGCTGTGTGTTCAAAACAAACTAGCTGATATACCAGTGCTGTGGTCTTCTTCTATACAATTATTGAATTTCGTTAGAAGGAATGGGTGAGTGTATGAATAAATACATATCAAATCTCATGGAAATCAATAAAAATTGAAAGTAAGTAGTGAAAAATTTCATGTTTATTCACTTCCCACCTTAGTATGTTGACAATAAAATAAATAAATAAATACCTTCTCACACATTACACCTCAGTTGTTTTTTCTTGAGCTTTGAAATAAAAAGCCCCATCTACTAGAAGATGATTCTCAGGGAAGAGAGGGAAAGGGTAAAATTAATGAAGATGTTAAGCCAAAAAAAAAACTAAACTCACTGTCATCGAGTCAATTCTGACTCATAGTGACCCCTTTTGGGTTTCTGAGGCAGTAAACTTTTATAGAAGTAGATTGCCCCATCTTTCTCTCATGGAACCACTGGTGGGTTTGAATTGCAAACCTTTGGTTAGAAGTCACATGCCTTAGGCACTGTGCCAACAGAGCTCCTTTAATGAAGATGCTACTCCCTGCCATCAAGTCAGATCTGACTCATAGCGACTCTTCCCTAGGTTTCCAAGGCAGTATCTCTACAGAAGTAGATTGCCCAGTCTTCCTTCCAAGGAGTGGCTGGTGAGTTTGAACCACCAGCCTTCTAGTTAGCAGTCAAATGCCTAGGCACTATGCCAGGAGAGCTCCTAATGAAGATGCTAGCAGCTTACAATTTATACCAGAAAGGTAGGCTAATTCAAGCACATCTATATCATTCAAGTTTTTTCTTCCTCTCTCAGCTTTGGTCCATTCTTATCGCCTTTGAGATGGAAATACTGTGTCTCAAATCTTAATTAGTGAGACAATCAATCAGTTTTAAAGAATTATTCCTATTAATGTTTCAAAATATAAATTTTATGCTGAAAGAAAACCTACATGTGAATTCTTGATACCTCTCATATACTTTTAATGTACTTTTTCAAGATAGGTAGGAAACAAACAAACAAACAAAATGGCTAAAGAATGGGGAATACATTAGCTGATAAATGGAGTTAATTTATACAGTCACTACTGTATAATTCTAGGTGATTTGTGTTCTTTTACAAGTTTAAATAAATATGAATGGATTTAACAACACAATCACATTGTCAAACAAGGGTTTATGTTTATTCATTTATTCCACACATGTTGATTGTGTATTAAACTCTAATAAAATTTAAGTAAATTTAGGCAAATTGTCTTGAAAACTAGGATTCATAAGACAAGGCCAAATCCTCTCATGACATCACTTGAATGATTATCAAGTTTAGATTTAGGTACTTATATTATTATATTAAAGGAGCTCTGGTAGCATAGTGCCTAAGGCACTTGACTGCTAACCAGAAGGCTAGCAGTTCAAACCCATCAGCCACTCCTGGGAAGGAAGGTTGGGCAATCCTACTTCCATAGTGATACCGCCTCAGACACCCAAGGAGGGGTCGCTATGAGTCGGGCCAACTCAATGGCATTTAACAACAACAACATTATTATATTAAAAGATATTATATTCTTAAAAGAGATTTTAATGGTATGAAAACTTTTTTAGTCCATAAAACAATATATGGATATCATCAGATGTGGAGATCAGTTCATTGCTGCTCAGATTAAAAGATAAATGGAGAATATTTTACAAAAATTTCATCATGAGGCTTGATGAGAGAAACATGAAATACTATTTGGAGAGACGGAAAATATGGAGAGTAGCAATAAACAAAATTTACTTTTTCTTTTGGTGCTAATAGACCACATCAGCACAATGATCATAATACAATGAAATAAAACACAAAGCCTGAACTCTATTAGTATACATCCCAAGGTCACAGGTAACCAGTATGTTCAAGAATAAATAAGGATAAGAATGTTAAAGATTTTCATGGAAAATCATATGATGGCATGAAGATTTTGTTTCTGTAAATTTTAATCTATCAATATATATTTCCAACAGCCAAATACATAAGCAATTACTTATATATCTGCATGAACAATCAGTCTTGATGTTCATGAATTTCTGTATGATGATCTAGGTATTCTACTTTCTGAATATCTCATTTATTTCATTGTGTTTCTTTGTGCTTTTTCAGTCAGGTTGTTTTCCTTGCTGTCACTCTAAAAAACATTGTTTTATACACATAAAAAAGCCTTGCTCTCCCTGTTTGAAATTCAAGTCTCTCAATTTCTTCAAATTAGTGACAGTCACAATTTCTGTAATTGTTCCCACTAGTCTTCAATTCTTCTCTTAATACCTGTAAGCATGCCTGCACTGGGTATAATATGTTAATTCTCACATATAATGTTTTATCTGTATAAAAATATTTTAAATTTCATTATTTGTAATGTATAGTGTTATCTTAATTAGATGGATTGTCAGCTTATTTTTGTATAAGGATGCCTTTTCTTCTTTTGGTAAGCCAAATTTATCAGGCATAGAATTTGATATGTCGTTGTTGTTTTTGCCATCGAGTGAGACCCGACTCATAGAGACCCCTCCTTGGGTTTCCGAGGCAGTATCACTATGGAAATAGATTGCCCCATCTTCCTTCTGAGGAGTAGCTCGTGGGTTTAAACTGCCAGTCTTCTGGTTAGCAGTCAAGTTCCTTAGGCACTATGCCACCAGAGCTTAATATGGTATGTTTGCTTAGAGCAGGAATTTGAGAGTCCCACAGATCTCCAGGTCTTGGTTGTGACTTTCACTGCCACTAGCTTTCCAATTCCAAAGGTACAATTGGCACATAATTAGTTCTAATATAGAAAATTGACCTCAAAAGCTTAAAAACTACTTTCTTATATTTGACTTTGTGCAAAAGTAATTTTCTTAAAATAAAAAAATATTTAAAGTTGTCATGTGTAAGAAGCAAACATTTTGAAAGCATGGTAAAAAAATGAAAAAAATGTTGAAAATAATTAGGAGGCATATTGTGACTTAGTATTTAAAAATAATAAAAATAAAAACACCTAAGAACTTTCTAACAATAAAGAACTCTGTACATGCAGTTGGATTTCCTGGATGGTATAAGCAGTGGCATTCGGCTATTACCCAAAAGACTGCAGGTTCAGTCTAGCCCAGAGGTTTCTTGGAAGAAACGTCTGACAATCTGTTTTCAAAAACTCAGCCACTGAAAGTCCTATATAGTACAGTTCTACCTTGACATAACTGTGGTCACCATGAGTTAGAATCAACTCAATGGCACTTGGTTAACTAGTTGGTACAGGGACTTGGCTTATTCATAATGGTTACTGCAAACATCTAAATGGCAATAACAAAACAAAAAAAAAACTCACTGCCAGCGAGTCCATCCGACTCATAGCGACCCCCTCCTTGGGTTTCTGATGTAGTATCACTTCAGAAGTAGATTACCCAACCTTCCTTCCAAGGAGTGGCTGATGGGTTAGCAGTCAAAAGCCTTAGACACTACGCCACCAGAGCTCCCAAGGGGCAATAGGAAATTCTAATTTTCTGAACCCCCATTGTGAACATGTTGTGAGTTTAGATTTTAGTTAACCTCTAAGATATTCTTCCCAGCTTTGAGTTTATGGTATTTCTTACTTGCTTATACTTGATGTTTGTTGAATTGCTTAAATTTAAAGTGAAGTTGAAGAAAACAATCATGCAATTAGTTTCCTTTTCACAAACTTCAACCATTAGCAGTAATTGCTTATTTTTGGATCTATTTCTCAGAGCTAAGGTGAAAACTTTAGAAGACTTCTATGAGTTTGTTTCAGCTCTTCTCTTGATTACCATTCAGTTAAACAATTTCAAGCATCATTCATTCTGTTTTTAACAACATACTCAAACAAAGACTATGACAGAAAATAAGTTATGTGATAAATGTTAGTTGAATACAGAGTTAGTAAATGTATGCTTTCTTATGGATGACATATTCCTTTTTTTTAGGGAAAAAAACTATTTTATTGTGTTTTTGGTGAAAATTTACACAACAAATTAGGTTCTCCTTTAACTATTTCAATACAGTTCAGTTGCATTGATTACACTTTTCACAATGTGTCAGCATTCTCACTATTTCCATTCTGGTTGTCTGCTTCCATTAATCTAGCTTCTTTGTCCCTATCTGCCTTACGTTCTCGTCATTGATGTAGGGTAAATTTTTACCTTTTGGCTTCATTTTGATGATTATTTAGAGAAGCACAGTACTCATGGATGTTATTATTTTATGAACTAATCTGTCATTTGGCTGAAAGGTGACCTCTGGGGTTGGTTTGAGTTCCAATTTTAAAGGTTATTCAAGGGTAATTGCCATATTTCTTTATCAGATTTTTAAAGTGTGATTTCTCTCAGTTTTTCCAGATAGAGAAACTGCTGCCTACTTAAATTTTAAAAAGTAAAATCAGAGTCCACCTATCAACATATGTGTAGAGACCGTAACTACATTTCTCAGTTAAAAAAAAAAAAAAACCTTTCTTTTTATACACCTCACTTCTTTGTAGTTTACAATTTTGAAGTTGTTTCTATAATCAGGATTATTTGCAAATTTCTGGAAGTCTCAAAATGTCTATACTCTATTACATCTTTCTCCTTATACGAGCTATGTCTCTCTTTTATTCTAGCTATTTTAAAACTTTTTCTGATAGAATAGATTTCAAATAGCTTTTATCGTAGTTACCACATATAAATAATTGATTTAAAAGTCACTTTGAATAAATTCATTATTTTGGTTATTCAACAGGAAAAAATTTGCTGGAATTTACTACAGTTTGTATTATTTCAAGCTAAAAAGAAAAAATAATAATTTCATTTGCATATGATTTATCAGTAGCCTTTAAGATAACTTTGACATGCACATTTCAAAATTAGATCAGTGTTCAAAACAAAACAAAACAAAAAATCATCAATTAAATAATTAAAATATCTGTTTATTTTGGTTTACCACTTATTATAGTTTATTATCCTATCACAAATGATAGATGTTAGACTTCATTTTCACTTATATACAAATAATAGACACTATTTTAACCAAAAATATGTATTGAGACTTAAATGTGAAGAATTAGGCCAGTAATAGTGCCCACTTACAGAGATAAGTCAGAGTTTCTATTCTTGAGATCATACCAATTAAATTAGGGTGGGGATGGAAATGAATTTTCTAGTTTGTGCTATTAAATTTTTCCAAAGTATAAATATAATAATTGCATTATGTTCTATGTGTTATTATTAAACTATAAGTTAGCCAAGAAATACTAGGCAGGTCATTGGGATGTCAAGATGATAAGACATTGATCTTGCTATCAGTTTAGAGTGGACATTGTTTGGGGAAGTCAAAGGAGAAAATGGCTACCATTGTCTGTAGATGTCAAATCAAGTTTTGTGAGGAGATGACATTTGAGAAGATTCAGGAAGATTTTGTCAGGCGGATAAGGGGAGATAAGTATTTCTGGCAGTGACAACCCTATCAGAAGGAGAACACTTCATGATTCCATGAGATATTTTTTTTTCAATTTTTCCTATTGCTTTTTCTGAAATGCCTTTTTTCTTTGACTCATCTTATTTTTTGTTATTGTTAATAATAATAATAACCCCAAATGCACTGCCTTCGAGTCAGATCCAACTCATAGTGACCTCTCCTTGGGTTTCCAAGGCAGTATCACTACAGAAGTACATTGCCCAACCTTCCTTCCAAGGAGTGGCTGGTGGTTTGGACCTCCAGCTTTTTGGTAAGCAGTCAAATGCCTTAAGCACTATGCCACCAGAGCTCCCAATATACACAAGAAAAAGTACACCAATTCAGCAGTGTCTCCATATACAATTCCATGACATGGATTCCATTCTTCAAGTTTTCCTGCCATTCTCACCCTCCTTTCCTGAATTGTCCCTCCTCCCCTAACATAAACTCCCTCACTGTTCCTTAAGCTTTCTGTCTAATCTTTCCAAGTTGGTGTTGTCAGTTGTATTCCACATAGACAATTCTTAGAAGAGCACAGTGTTCAAGGCAGACATGCATTTCTACTTAAGCCAAACTATTGTTTTGACTTTAAAATGACTTCAGGGGATATTTTTCATTTAAGGTTTAAAGATTACCTCAAGGCAACAGTTTTGGGGTTCATCAGCTGGGTGAAAAAAGGGGTCAGGAGAGGAAGTTCAGAAAGTAATGTAGAGGAAATAAAACTTCCATATTCTATAGATAAGTATGTGCTCTTCATATAGAAGGAAAATGGAAGAAATCCATTTTATTTTTTTAAACTATTATAGAAATATAGATAATGCAACATTGGCCAACTTAACATTTTTCACTTGTACAGTTCAGTGAGACCAGTTATATCAATCATGCTGTGTAGCCGTCAGCAATATTCATTACTACATTTTCCATCCCCCTAAACAGTAACTCAGTGAGAGATGAACAGAGATAATCCTTTTTCATCTTCCCTCTCACCCCAGTAACCACTGGTAAATTCTGATCTCTATATGTTTGACTGTTCTAAGTGTTTTTTATTAATAAGTTCATACAATATTTGTCTTTTTATGATTGGCTTATTTCTGTTTGTTCTGTAGTGATATTACTTATAGTCTCATACTTTTTAATTGTGACAAAAATAAATAAATAAACAGGAAATCATCTGATCTAGCCCACAGTCTTCAATGAAGAATGCAACGTCATTCTTTTGTTCTTGGAATAATGGTGTCTGAGATGCAGAAAGTGTGTGCTAATCTAAGTTCAGGAATTTAGTAGGGAGCAGATGTCAATTATGCATTTTAGAAATTGTAGAAAACAAAATTTTAAGGCAATCAATTACCTATTTATTATTTTTTCCTAGGTGGCAGATCTTGCACTGGAACATTAGTAGTTCTTTTGGAAGATGAAAATGATCACTCTCCAGAAATTGTTAAAGAGTGGACAATTTGTCGCAATGATAAAGAGTTTGCTGTTCTGAAACCTGTAGATCTAGATGGGCCTAATAATGGCCCACCGTTTCAATTCGCTTTGGATAATTCTGCCAGCAAATTGTGGACTTTAGATTCAAAGGATGGTATGTAATTATACTTATGCTGAATTTCGTGGTCAATGGGAACTCCAGATGACTCATGGTCGTGACTTTTACCTTATCTTGTCATAACAAATAAATGTGTATTTTAGGAAATTATTTCAATGATCCTAAAATAAAAGATAATACTTTGCTTTCTTATTGCAACGACTATATTTCTCCTAAGCTGAGACCCTTGTTCCAAGTATCCTCTAGGAAGAAAACTGAATTTATGTTAAGATAGAGTGACATGGAGAATAAAGTAACTTCAGTTTTTTTCTTCCTGCTTTCCCAAGAAATAAGTATTATTTTCAATATAGAAAAATGAACCATTAGAGTATTTCTTTTAAGAAAAGTGTTTTTTACCCCTAAGAACACAAAGTACTAATAATATTGCTATTGAAAGATATTAATATATATTCTTTCTGACTTTTATCTCCCTAGGTCACACGGCTATTCTTCGTGAACGGCAACCTCTTGATTATAACTATTATTCTGTGCCTATCCACATAGAAGACAGACATGGTTTGGGTGCAAAGCACATATTACAAGTGAGAGTGTGTGACTGTACAACTCCATCTGACTGTAGAATGAATAAAAAGGATAGAGATGTTAAGATGTCAAAGGTCATACTTGGAAAATGGGCTATTCTTGCCATGGTGTTGGGTTCTGCATTGCTGTTATGTAAGTATAATTTTCTGAAACATTTTGGCTGAAATTAAGCCTGTTATTTTTTTTTCAGTATATTTGATACTTCTATTAATGCCATTGTAGCCTCTGGTAAATATGAGCCTCTAAAAAAATCTATCTAGAAGACTTGGAGTTCTAAGTCAAAGAAAAAAAAAAAGAAAACAGTAAAGCAGACTAAACGTAAAATAAGTTGTAGAAATTGTAGCTTCAGTTTTTAAAATGATTAGCTAGGAAATGTTGGGTAAATTATTTTCTATTTTTGAGTTCATTTTTCTATATGAAAACTAAAGAAGTTGGACAAGATTAAGATTCCATCCTGTATAAAATATTATGGTCTTTCAACGAGCCAACTTTATTCAGGGAAATCACAAAAAGAATTAGTAAAAACTAGATAACACCATACTTTGCTTAGATGTTCATGTTCATCGCTATTAATGAAAACAAAAAAAGTGATTGCCCATATATCTTAAGTAGATTCTAATGAATGGAAAATAGTCGTATGGTGGGTAACTGAGAAAAGATAACGCATGCAAAGGTCACTAATATTTTGCATTCTGCAAAAGCAATAGAAAGCCTGGGCAGAGATGTTTTTCAACCTATTAGATTGCACAGAATCCATTTTTATTTACAAACATCTTTCAGCCTTTACTGTGTCATAATTCATTGATTTGAGTTTCAGGTATAAACTGGATATTCCTCTTAGCTCTATATTAATTGTTATACATTTTCAAAACTGTATACTAATTTGTGTAATTGCTTTTCTTGTTGTCATGTATGCCTAATGTCCTTTGTGTTCTAAAGCTTCGAGTGTGTTCTGTATAATTTTACGTACCAATAATACCAACTAGTAGTGTGTCTTGCTGAGGAGAAAAAAATTAGAGCATGAGATAGAAAAGAGGAGGGATAAGGCTACCTGAACGTTTAAATTTCAGGCAAATAAAGTTACCATTTCAATATGGAGGAAATAAGGGAAATATATAAATTACTTCTGGATCCAGGAAGGGAATTATTCATAAATTATACTCACTTAATCCTTCTTACTTTTCATTGATTTGTTTACATAACCTAATGTCCTAATCTCATGACACAGAAATAATCCATGTATTAGTACTAATGCTAATATTCTGTTTTAGATTTCATGACCCAAAGTGATCTTAATTAAAAGAATTCTATAAAGTTCTTTGCAGAAACTTTAGAAAATCATATAATTCAAATGCTTCAATGCAAACCAGCAAGAAGAAAAATACTGTTTTACTTCATTTTTTTTTTTTTTTTTATTTTAGGTATTCTGTTTACGTGTTTCTGCATTACTGCTAAGAAGACAGTAAAAAAATGTTTTCCGGAAGACGTGGCTCAGCAAAATTTAATTGTGTCAAACACTGAAGGACCTGGAGAAGAAGTGATGGTACATGGAATTTCACTTTCTTTTGAATCGTATGACAACTCACTTATTATAGTTTGATTATAGCATCACAATAGTGATAATAATAATAATGAGTATTGATCACTGCACACTTACTGTGCCAAGAAGAATGCCAAGTGCCTTGCATATGCTGATTTATTTAAACTTGGTAATCTTGTGACAGGGGTACTAATGTTATCCACATTTTATACATATATGGAACTAAGAGGCATAACAGATAAATGATTTGCATATGGTGGGGGGAAAACATATTGTTAGTTTCAATTTGATTCATTCTTTTTATAACTAACTTTATTTTTTAGGAGGCAAATATTCGACTCCCCACACAGACTTCCACTATTTGTGACACAAGCGTTGGTGGTCAGGGAATCAAAACCCAGCAAAGTTTTGAAATGGTTAAAGGAGGCTACACTTTGGAATCCAATAAAGGAGGTGGACACCAAACCTTGGAGTCCTGCAAGGGAGTAGGTCAGGGTGTAACGGACACTGGCAGATACACCTACACAGACTGGCATAGCTTCACCCAACCACGTCTTGGTGAAGTAAGTTGCAATTTCTTCAAGCTTATATTATATGAAAGTTAAATACTATTTATAAGTCAGGGTTTCCCAAAAGCTTTATTCCTCATACACTTGCAACTCATCACTTTCTTCATGTCAAAGTCCAAACTCAAAGAGAAAAATTATCTCAAATAGTTCAATTTTCAAAATTAGGTTTGCAAACCAGTAGCATACGTAGATGTGCTTAGGAAGGATAAAAAGATGGATAGTTTCCAAAAATTATCAGGGAAACTATCTGGAGTGAATTATTTATTATAATGAGCTGATGATAAATTATAAACTTTATTATTATTGTTCTTGATTCCTCTATGTGGTCATGAAGTATTGACTATCAAAATCAGCCAGGTAGATTGTTAAACTTTTATTTTGGGTTTTAGTTCCCTCCTACTTTTGTTTTATGCTAAAATTATTCAATATAGTTTAACACAGGCCACTTTTATAATAATGTAAACACTTATGAATCATAGGTTATATTGTTTTCCTAAATATGTGACGATGCTCCAGAGGTAAATTTCAAATATGCAAGTATTTTAAATCAGGACTCTGGTGGCACAATGCCTAAGGCATTTGACTGCTAACCAGAAGGTTGGCAGTTCAAATCCACCAGCCCCACCACCTTCCATAAGATTTACCACCTCAGAAACCCAAAGGGGGTTACTATGAGTCAGAATCGACTTGATGGCAGTGAGTTTGGTTTTGTTTTTTGGTTTTTATTCAAAATTGAAACTATAAATTAATTGTGTGATATATGTGCAGCTTTAATTTTCATAAATGTGTTCACTAGGAACATATGTTTATTTGCTATATTTTCAAAATGAATATCATACAGACCAATCATGTGCATTTTCTATATGTAGGAATCCATTAGAGGACACACTCTGATTAAAAATTAAACAGTAAAAGGTAAATCAAAGACATTATTTTTATGCTAATACATTTAGGTGTTTTAAAAATAATAATAATAAAATATGCTCTTTTTTTGATGCAGAAGGTGTATCTGTGTGGACAAGCTGAAGAGCATAAACATTCCGAAGACTGCATTCGTTCATATAACTATGAAGGAAAAGGGTCTCTGGCTGGTTCGGTAGGCTGCTGCAGTGATCGTCAGGAAGAGGAGGGGCTTGAGTTTCTAGATCATCTGGAACCCAAATTTAGGACATTAGCAAAGACATGTGTAAGGCAATAAATGTGTCTTTTAATAGAATAACATATGTAAATGGATATATAGGAGTTTCTTGAATGTAAGATGATAGCAGCATCTGCTAACGTTTTTGTTTATTGGAGGCAAACTTCAAGTCATGTATAGATAAGGCTATTATAAATAGGAAGCTCCCTAGATTTTCCTTGTCTAAAGATAACTTCAATGTTTTCTAGAAATAAAGGTTTCATTTGTTAATTTCTTTTATACACATGTATATATTTCTCTTTTCAGGACTGTACTCTGTGTTCTCTTGTACCTTCTATTTGAAGATTTATGCTTTTGTAACTATGTTAAAGCTGTTCTTATAACTCCTACTTGAAAACTTAAGTCATTATGTTTGCTCTGGAAAAGTATGTGGGAGGACTGGGCATTGTGGAGGCTAATGAAAAGTGAATTTTCATTTCAGATGTGCAGATTAAATATTTTCTTCAAAGCATTGGGAAGAATTATTTCTTTGATGCTAGAGAATTTCTTCCTCTCTAATGGACTGGGTCTGAATTGAAGGATTTTAAGTATTCTTAAATGTAGTTTTTGGCTTGGTAAATGAAAGCGACTTTCTCACCACAGTTTTCAGCCTGTGGAGATGTTCCCAGCACTGATTTTATTTTTTTCAGGAGCCTTCAGAGCTCAGTGCTTAGGATCTCTACCATTGGGAGTAAAATTATTTTGGCATTGCAGTTCCTGTTGTCTGATCTACACAACAGTGTACACTGAAAATGATACTAGTTTTGATATTTGAAAATGTTATTATAAATTTAAAGATCTATCATAATATCACAATAAGTTATTTTCTTGAATGTCGGTGCCAAATGCTTTCTGAGCAGTTAAAAGATATCATTAGCTCAAACATTTACTTATAAGTATTTGTTCGTGCCCTCATATTTCTCTTGTACTTGCTTAGGTGTGAGACAGTTTATATCTGAACATAAAGTACAATTGATTGGCAAAAAACAGATTACTTTGTCAACAAGAGAGGACACTATAAGAGTATTAAAAAGATTACTGAAAGTATAGGGAATTAATTGGTATTAAGCACATTTGGCTATTTGAAATGTTTTCAGAATATCATTAAAATTTATTTCATATAGGAACTATGACTGTCTTGATTTATTTAAGCAATTTAAAGTCATTCTCTACTTAAACTCACAATAAAATGTTGAATTTAGGATTGATGAAATTCATAAAACTCCACTAGACTGCAAATTACATTTGTTAATAAAACATCTTATGGATTTATTTCATGTAAGTTGTCAATTAATTGTCAATAAGTAAACTGCTATGATTCTTTTTTTCTGTGCTTAAAAATATAGTACGGGGAAAATCCACAATTAATTTTTTCCTTATCTTGATGCAGGTCATAAAATATTTCATTTAAAAAAATTTCATGGGAAAACCCATAGAGATGAAAATTGTTGTAATTATTATAAATGTGCTTCAGTAAATGTTTCCTTAAACTTACTGAGCTTTTAATCTCTCTCAAATTTATTAAAAGTATTTTATAAAAATTGATATATCTGCATAAGTTTACTTGCAGAAAAAGTTTGCTTGCAGAAATGCTATGTTATTTGGAACATGTTAAAATAAATGTTTTAGAGATGAGGGTTTTTTATGATCACAATAAAGCAATATAAACTCCCTTTTCATAGTTTATTAGTTATAAAAGTCCTTTACTAACTGAAAAACCTTAATGAAATTAGACTAATGAAACAAACAAACTATATACTACCACATCTTTAGAACCTCTTTTATCTGACTTTCTAACAAATCTGAAGCAATGTTATATTTGGCTAGACATTGAATTTGCCTTTTTACTTACATAGAGAAAAGATAAAAGAAGTATAGCAGGAGAAAGCATTACTTAGAACAGATGGACCTTTGTATATTTCCTAGGGTCCAAAAAAATGAAGCAAGCAAAAATTTTTTAAAACTCTTTAAAAGAATAATGTTGCACAAAAAAATTAAAAATCATACCTAGATGACCTCAAATTCTTATCACCAACAATACAACAATAATTACTTTCAAATATATACAGATAGACTACTTTGTGTGTAAAAAGCCTTATGAAAAATGGCCAAGCTTTTTCATAGTATACAACCTTTGTAAAGACAAATCAAATGATTATATAATCCCAATGTCTTAAGGTAAGGAGATCTGGTGGCTCAGCGTTAAGGCATTTGGCTGCCAACCAGAGGTTCAAACCCACCAGCTGCTCCGTGGAAGAAAGATGTGACAATTTACTTCTGTAAAAATTTCCAACCTTGGAAATCCAGTGGGGTTGCTATGAGTTAGAATCTGCTCGATGGGAGTGCATTTGTGTTTTTGGTTTTTATGTCTTAATGTAATTTTTTTTGCTTAATAAGAATAAACTATCCTCTGATGAAACTAAACTACAAAGTTAGAAGTTACTTATTCCCTAACTTTAGAGAGAAGAAGATTAAAAGCAAATATGGCCTTCCATTGGTTTGCATTTGGTCTGAGACTATACGGGATTTCACAATGTTTTTAAATTTAGTCTCCTGTGTGTAACAACAAATACCTATAATAATTACAGTTTTTATTTCTCCATGGTTAGAGTATTTTAAGTAATATAAAGTAGAATTATTAATATCCAAAAACAAACAAACAAAAAACTCAAGGTGTCTGTGGTAGTTGTGTTTGTGTGTCAACTTGGCTGGGCCTGGTTGAGTGGCTGGGCAGCTGGTGGTAGTTATTCCCCATGATGAGACTGGCAATCAACTCCATGGTGGGATCTACCACAAGCAGCTGAGTAGCTGCCTTTGGGATGTGGTCTGCTTCCTGTATATAAGGAGGAGCCTTGGGAATGGTCTCTAGCTTATGGCACATTTGGACCCTGAATGTAGCTGTGTCGTTCAGCAGCCTGCCATGCTCTGCCGACCTTGGGACTTACAGTGGACTTGAATTAATGGTGTGCCATGTGGTTTGGTAACATCGACTGTGCCTTTTTACTCATCAACTTTGGGCTTGTCAGCTTCAGCAGCCAGCAGCTGTCTGAGTGAAGAAAAGCCTCTAGCTCCAGTGGGCCGGGAGCAGGAGACAGAGCTGAAGCCCAAGGCTGAGGGGCTTTCACCCAGACCCTAAAGCCTGGCACTTTGAACTTGGACTTAAAACCTCCAAACTATGAGAGTACAAACTCTTGTTTGTTAAGACCATCCTGTTTGTGGTATATTCTTGTCAGAGCGGTACTAGGTAAGCAGAATAGCTTCCCTTCAGAGAAAGTATGATTTTTCCCGGGTGGTGCAAACAGCTTGACTAGTAGCTCAAAGTCTGGCAGTTCAAACCCACCTGTAGGTCCCTCAGGAGATAAGCCTGGCAATCCGTTTCTGAAAGGTCCCAACCTTATAAACACTGTGGAGCAGTTCTTCTCTGCACCCATAGGATCACCATGAGTTGGAATTCACTCTATGGAAACCAACCACAACAGAGTTACTTTTTACCAAGTATAGCTCAAGAAAGAAGCCCTAGTTGTGCAGTGATTAGAGTGCTATGCTGCTAACCAAAAAGTAGGCAGTGGTGTTGTGATTAAAGCATTGGGCAGCTAACCAAAAAGATCAGTGGTTGGAACTTATCAGCTACTCCACAGGAGAAAGATGAGTCAGTCTGCTTCCACCGAGATTTACAGCCTTGGAAACCCTAAGGGGCAGTTATGGTCTGCCCTATAAGTCTCTATGAGTTGGAATCAACTTGATGACAGTGGGTTTTTTTTTTTTTAAATCTGTCCTAAAAGAGGGATGACAAACTAATCTAATGGTACTATATTCCTCACCTCTTTGAGATCCACACTCTAAATTTCTAAACCAGTGGTTTTCAAAGTGTGATTTCTGTGCTAGTAGCAGTAGCATCACCTGGGGAACTTGTTAGAAATGCAAATTTTAGGGTCCTCCCCTCACCCGGATCTTTTGAATCAGAAACTCTGGAATGGGGCCAAGTAATCTGTATTTTAACAAGACTTCCAAGTACTCTTGATACATGTTCACTACACATAAAGCAACAAACTACACCCTTCTCAATTTTTATGTACCTACATCATTGAATCTCTATAAACTTCAAAGAAACACGGACATATGATGTACAGCAACACACAATTTAATCAAATATAGGTAAATGATTGATTGATTGACACTTTCCTAAGTAAATATATTTTGCCCTGGTGGCATAGTGGTTAAGCACTCATCTGTTAACCAAAAGTTTGGAAGTTGAGCCTACAAGCTGCTTCACAGGATAAAGATGTGGCAGTCTGCTTCTGTAAAGATTGCAGTTCTGCTCTGTCCTATAGGGTCGTTATAATTAATAAAATTATGATTTTGCTAACCTAAAGGAGCTCTGGTAGCACAGTGCCGAAGGCATCTGACTGCTAACCAGAAGGTTGGTGGTTCAAACCCAGCAGCCACTCTGTAGAAGCAAGACTAGGCAATCTACTTCTGTAAAGATTCACCACCTTGAAAACCCAGTAGGGGTCGCTATGAATTCGAATTGATTCAATGGCAGTGGATTTGGCTTTTTTAAATTTTAATAATTAAGAAAAATCACATTTTGCTACTAGTTGGTTTTGTTCAGAGCTATCGAACAAATTTGCCAAATTATGCTTAAAAACCAACCTAAATAACCCTGATAATGTTAGCAATCCAAACTGGAAAAAACCTACTGCCATGGAATTGATTCTGATTCATAGTGACCCTCCTTTGAGTTTCTGAGGTGGTAAATCCTTCCAGAAGTAGATTGCCCAGTCTTCCTTCCTCGGTGGGGTTGAACCCTCAACCTTCTGGTTAGCAGTCAAATACCTTAGGTGCTATGCCGCCAGAGCTCCTTGTAGGATTTCCAAGGCTGTAATCTTTTCCAAAGTAGGCTGCCACAACTTTTTCCCATGAAGGGACTAGTGGGTTCAAACTGCTGACCTTTTGTTTAGCAGTTGAGTGCTTCAACCACTGTGCCACCAGGACTCCTGTTTTAGCAACATAACTGTTAG